ATGAATCATAAATGATTCTTGAAAGAAAAAGAAAAAGTAAAGTTCTGATAATGTTTAATGATTGATACTAACTTTGTGTATCATTTGCAATGTCAGTCATAATTTGTGATATTACTGATGTATATGGCATTGGAACAGGATAGAAACAATTATCATAACGTTCAGCAATGGTAAAAATTAACTGAGATTTCTTTAGTTGATAAGTATCGATCATTTTTTTCGGATCGTTTGATTGTTGAAAATGTTGATTATCAGGTTGATCTAAATTATATACAAGTAGAATTATATACATGATTATTTTTCATCATTTTCCTACTTGAACCGTAGATATGAAGAGAACCATATGATTTCAGTTCAGGTTGTATCATCTTTTTTCGACTTATATGAAAACTAAACTAAAAGAAATTGAGAAAAATCTTTTGCATTCATACTTGAGTTTTTTACGTTTTTTCACCCGTAACAAATTCATTGTTATCAATAGGAAAAAACAATGAATTATTGATTGGATCTTTAATCACATTATTTTCCGGTGTATCAATTGGATAGGGATGTATATAATGATACATAACATTGTTGTTTTTTACAGTAACTGATGTAACTTGAATATATAGATTTCTTGTTAAATCGTATAATATCGATGGAAGCTGTGGAAATAAATGAACTGTCTTAAAAAATAAAATAAATATATAATACCTTAACAGTTGGATATTCATATCCAGCGTTGTTATTGTCAACACGAATAAAACGCTGAGGTTGGTTTTTGTTTGGATCCGTTTCACAAAAATATCTTTCACGATAATATGCTTGGGGTTGAGCTATGATATAAAGTTTGGCCTCTTCAAATGCGCAAGATGTATTAGAAGGGAAATCTGTGTTCGGTGATAATTTAACAAAATCATCGTCAGTTCCATTTGGTTGAAAATTTCCATTAGTTGGTAAAGTAGTTCCAGGATATTTAAATGGAAAATCATCCTCATCTAAATTAGGTTCAGGTTCACTGTATGTAACATTTGCAGTAGGTGATGCTGATGGTGGTGGAGAACCCAAACTACTACGATTTGATGGATTAATGCCAGCTGGTGTAGTAGGTGTATCTATACATCATACTCATAAATATAGAACGTTAAATTATTCATACTTACCAAGCAGAAAAAAACTCGGTGAATCTAAACAATAAATTATACATAGAAATAATTTTATTTTAGAATTCTATAGAACATACTAATTATTTCATCCACTCTTTGAGGAATTGGCGAAGGAAAATTTTCATCAGGATCTGTTTAAAAAGATAATTTTAAAATATCGTTCTTTTATTTTAAAAGATTTTACCATAAGTAAATTCGTTAGACATTTGTATGAGTATTTTATAACTGCTTTATGAAAATTCAAATGAATTGTGTTTTCGATTATATTTTATAAAGATTAAGGTCGATAGATATATACCGACATCAGTATGTGGTCCCGTGTGTTGGAAAAAAATTTCCCACTGAGAGACAGAATGAAAAAAAAAGAAAAAAGAACAACGAAAAACAAGAGGTTAGAAGAATGTTCTTCGTTGAGTAGTATACAAACGCACTTTGTTCTATATGAAATATAAGAATTAAAACTTTTATTTCACTAACTTCAACTTTATTCCATAAGAATCAGTAACTTCTTATTATATTTATTCTTGATAGTATAGAATTATAAAATAATCTTAACGTTTTTTATCCAAAAATTTCAATTGTCATCAGCTAATACTGATTCATAGACATAATTTTCTGTATTACACGATATTCACATGTTTATTTTTTTTGTATATGTATATGGGTATAGTATAGAATCTAATTTATGTCGTTGAAGTCTTTCGTACAGTTTAGCATAGAGTAGAACACAAATAATTGTTTTTAGTTGTTCTAGAATAATAGATTAGTATTTCAACAGTGAATTATGTAGAGATAAGTTATGTGCAATATTTATAGAAATTATTAAAAATTCAAATTCATGTAAACAATCCATGGATTAGACTTAGTACCATGAAAAATACTGGTCTAGTCAATTATTGGCAATGTGTAAATTAGAAACAAAGATAAAACCTACGTGATAAAATAGAATGAAAAATGATACTTGATGACGTCTATGCAAAACATATTCCAAGTATTTTTATCCAGTAGACTAAGTGAATACATTATTTAATGGCGTCGTAGTATATCATGTCATATGATTTGTTTTTCAACCCATATTTACCAACTGATAAGTATTTTCTGTATAATAATTTTCAGTTTACAAAGTCGAACTTCAACTATTTTCTGATTTATTTAAGTATTTTTGATAAATTAGTAAGAAATCATTCTGTTTTGTAATAATGACTACTAATAGCTTTTTATCTGTCTACAAAGTTGTTGAATTCTGAACTTCAGATTGAAAACTTTAGAATATAATTAAGAAAAATAAGACTGAAATTCGTAAAAACTATTTTTTAACAGAAAATAATCAGTACATTACTCTTGTATTTCAATATTATTGCATGCAAAGTTCTGAGTATTTACATAGATAATCAGGATAGAAATAAACTTTGATTGTTTCTGGGGAATATTTAATTTAACCAATTATTTATTCATAAATTATTTTATTAGAACAATACAATTATATATAAGTTTTCATCATTGACATCTGTGACAATTATTTCCATATCCATGATGTTTCCCATCCATGTTAACAAATCAACCTAGAAATATGTCTAAAGTAGTTTTTTTTTAGTTTTAACAAATCATTACTCACTATTATCTTCTGGTAAACTAAAGATCAATACTACATGTTCAATAATACTGCCTTTGTTTATACAATTCTAATAAGTACATCCATCTGTTGAAAAAGAAAAAAACAATACAAATAAAAATATAAAACTAATCTACCTGAAAGAGATGCTTTTTTTTAAGTACATCTATTGTACGTTAATTAGAATATATTGTTTAGACTTTATGATGATTAGCATTTACGGGTATGATAAAAAATATCATCGAATGTCATGCCAAATTTTGGTCATAATATTTATAGATCTGAAGAATAAAAATAAACGGACAATACGATACACGGAAAAACCAAGGAACACAAATCGGTTTTTTACTCAAAATAAACACACGGTTAAACGTTTGAGTAAATCAATATAAATCAAAAATGAAAATCAACTGCAATGAAATATGGAAAAACTTAATAAACAAACACACACACACACGCACGCATATAGTTGCTCGACTAGTCACATCACAGAAATCAAGATGATTTTGTTCTACATTAAACAACACTCGCTCTCATTTTGTGTAGCTTTATCTGCATCGGAAAATGCATCACCAAATAAATTTTGTTCGCTACCAAATCCTCCGAAACCAGGTAAACCCGGAAAAAATAAAAGTTCTTTTGGAGGATCGCCATGTGTTTGTAATTGTTGAAATTTATGTAAAACACGTTGAATTTGTTGACTATCATTTGTTGTGTCATATTCTCGACATATATCTTTAACACATTGATGTTGTTTTGTATAACGTTGAATTTCTTCTTCAGTTAAACTATCTTTATTTTTTGTTAACCATTCTTCATATGATTCATCAACAGCTTGACATGCTGGTAACATAACATCTTTTGATAATATACTTGACATAAATAAATTTAATTGCTCAACATGTGGTTCATCTGTTGATGCTGTTGTTGGAGCTGTTGTACTAGATGCTGATGCTGCATCCGATTGATCAGCTAGTTTTTCTAATGCTTTTTCAATATCTTCATCTTTAATTTTTTGTAATAAATCAGCATGTTTACCCAATTGAGAAAATAAATTAAATATATTACTGTCTGTTTCATTTTCATTGCCTGTTTCACCTAGACCAAATGGAAAATTCGATAGAATATTTGGTAATGCATCAAGTTCATTTAAAAATTTTTCATCATTAAAACACATTGCTTCGAATGTTGATTGTAATGGATCAGATGGTGGTGGTGCAGTTTCAGATGAACTAAGAACTGATTCTTTCTTTGTTGTTGACGTAGATGTTGCTGTTGTTGTTGGTTTTGGTTCTTTAAAATCTGTTAAAGCATCATCTAATAAATTATCAAGTGATTTTG